ATGCTGCTTGGCCTGCTGTGTTCATCCAGTTCTGCACCTTGTTTTCTTGAAATCATGCTGCATTTTGAAAAGAACTGTTTCAACATTTGAGAAATTATGAATGAAACTGACGTCTGCAATCCTCGGTAAGCATCCCCACTTCTGATGAATCAGTGACTTTCCCCTCATTGTGAAACATCTGAGTTGGTTGACCATGGGGCTTTGCCCTGAGGAACTCCTGCATTGATGTCCAATGAGCTTCCAATCACCCTATGATCTGTAAGTCTTTGTTTACTATAATCTGCTTATACTGCCTGCAAACAAAGCTTTTCACTGTACTTAGTTATATGTGACTACAATAAATCAAATCAAATCAACCACAGCTGTTATCCTATGTGTTAGATCTGAGTCCAGCAAGTCAAGTGTTTTCCCCTGGCTTCCCAATGACTCCACTATTACAAGGATTCTTTGACATGATACTTGGTCAAATGATGTTTTGACATCAGAGGAGGTCACTATTCTTGATCTGTAGGACTTCAGCTCTTTTTTTATTCCTGTTTTTGGGAGAAGTCTGCAGTAAGGTCTGGAGATGGGTGACTTTGACTGAACCTGAACTGAGCACGTTGTGATTATTCTTAATTGTTTCATGTGGTACGAGCAGCACTGGCAAGGCCAATGTTTGAGGCCCATTCCTGGTTGACATTGAAGATCTTGGTGAGCCTCCTGCTTGAACACTGAAGTCCACTTGATGTATGTATACCTACAGTCTGCATGCTGTTCTGTAATCCTTATTAATGCAGTGTGTAGGGATATGGGGAAAAGTCAGGAAATTAGCACTAAGTAAAGAATGGCCTCCTGTGTTGCAGCCATTCTTTCCTTGGTTTTGAGAGCTATGCTTGGCTAACACATTATGCATTTTGATGGTACACAGTTATGCTGTTAATGGATGTAGCAACTCATGGATGCTCCGTTTTGAAGTGCTACATTGGTTGTGAATCACTTACATTTAACTTGATGATGGTGCACACAAGATAGTGTGTTCTCATGGCTTCTACAAGGATTGTTTAGTGATGTCTCTTACAAATGCTATCTGATTGCAACAGATTGGTGAGGAAAAGTCTATTAGATTTTTTCTTTTATGTTCTCACCATGTCATACAGGCCTCATCAGTAGCTATTTCCTCTAGAGCTTGGCCTGTATTTCTGTAATGGGACCATTCATTGAAGCTCCCCACTTTAAGCCATTGCTACTCTTAGTTTGTCCGATTGGTATTCAACATGATGTGTTACTGATCCATCAATTGGTGGAGCAGTTGGTGATAATACTTTTTTTGCCGTCTTTGACTCCGGACCCGATTACAACATGGCATCGGGTCAATACTGGTGATTCCCAGGACCGGTCCCTCCTGACTGTTGCTGCTATTTCTGGTATGTCTGATCTGCCAATGGGGTAGGCCATTTCCAGGGATTGTGATTTAGGAGACTGGGATGTTGGCTGAAATGCATAATTCCTTGCTAAAGACTTCGTTTAGCTGACAAATCAGGGAGAAAATGATTTCCCTTGAGAAAGATGTGAAATTTTCTAAACAAAAATCAAATTCAGTGATATGTCCCTGTACATCTCTTGATCTGATTTTCAGCAGGATAAAAAAAATCAGGCCTGAACAAATTGGATTATATAAGGAGATCTGGGTGAGCCTTTAGATTCAATTGCACGGAATATGTCCTTTTATATTGCTTCAAATGTCTGCCTTTCATAGAATCATAGAATCCCTACAGTGTGGAAGCAGCCCATCGAATCCACACCGAGCCTCTGAACAGCAGCTCACCCAGGCCCATTCCTCTACCCTATCCGTGTAACCCTGCATTTCCCATGGTTAATCCACCTAACCTGCACATCTTTGGACTGGAGGAACCGGAGCACCGGGAGGAAACTCATGCAGACACAGGGACAATGTGCAGACCCTACACAGACAGTCATCTGAGGGTGGAATCAAATCGGATCCCTTGTGCTGTGAGGCAGCGGTGCTAGCCACTGTGCCATTTCGTTTATTGTACGGGACAAAGTGAATTCTGCATTGACACAGATCCCCTGACAACTGAGGTCACCAACCCCTTGGGGCTGACGGAAGGATTTTTTTTAAAACTAGATGTAAGATTACAGCTGTGCATAATCTGCAAAATGTATATCATATTGTCATAAAGACGAGTAACTGAAGTTGCAATGGTCAGTCCTGGCTCTTAATTCTACCTTCAGCTTTTGTCTAGCAGTTAAGTGAGTCTGATGATAATACCATTAATCTGATGTCTGTGAATCATGTAAATAACTGTGCACAAAGCTGGCGGAGTTTGGGCGGAGAGAAACTATTGGAAAAATGGTAATTTGAGTTGTATCTGATCTGAAATAATTATTACAGTAGATACAGGACTTGGACTTCACCTGAAGTTGCATTGCTAATTTTTACCTGTTGTTCTCCGTCAGTGTTTCAGATTTGTTGAGCTAAACCCTTCAGAACGAATTTTGTCTTGCATTTTATTTTTCTCAGGTCAGCCAAGCAACATGTTGCTTGTGAATCACAGTGATGGATTAGTACAGATTGCATCTGGGCCTCAGCAAGCAACACAACAGAATGGCTTTCCAACGCAACCAGCAACCTACCACCACAGTAAGGAAATAGTGTTTAAGTTTTATTTGAGTATCATTATTCTGAGTGTTTACATACCTCTATTAAGTTGTTGGTCATTTATCCCACAATTTATAATTTACTTGATGCTAAATGTTAGTTTGACTGGTCCAGTCCAAACTATGCATAATAGGCTGCATTCCACCACGTAGGAATCATCTTGACCAGGTTGCAGACCACATGCATTACGTGTGTCTGTATGCATACACGTGCACTGACAGGGTCAGTAAGTGTAATTTTAGGTTGTTGGCAGTTAAGTAGACATTACCACACTTATTTTCACTGTTGATCCTGTTTATTTATTTAGACTTAATTTCAAAATTTCTTGTACAAAATTCAAGTGTTATTTTAGATTCAAAGCGACTTGTTTTAAAAGCAGTACACTTTGAATCCTATTTGTAAATTGAAATGTGTTCATAATTGGGTGCATTAGTGTACAATAGCCATTCAGCAATCAGACATAGAATTTAGGAGTGATTTATCTATGTAGAGTGTAGTAAGCGTGTGGGTCTCGCTACCACATTGGATTGGTTGAAGGAGATAGTATTTGCATGATTAAGAGGAGGCTTGATGTATGAATTAGGGAAAAGAAATACATGCAAGTGAGAAGTAATAAGAGTGTGGAATAGAAACATGTCAGCTGAATAACCCGTTTCTATGCTGTTGATTCTGTGTAATAGCTCTTAGCTTGAATTTACCTTTCCAATATTAACAACTAATCCTAGCACTGTTTAAGTTGCTTTATAATGAAGAAACTTGTATTGTTCTGAATCTTAATAGTTAAGCATCAAACTTTTTTGTGTGAGTTTCCTGTCATTTTGGTTTGGAACAGGAGAAGTACAGAGATGAAAGAATATTGTGATTTTTTGTTAGTAATTAAATATTCAAAATGTGGAATGGATGCGAAGGAGCAAAGCTGTTACAAACGTTGATTCTGTATATTTGGCTTTTTCTGTACAACAAAGAATGTGGCCCAATTCCATTCATTATGTTGCACCTCCCATTGCATTAAGTTGCAGTTGTGATTTGGGGCATTCTGGAATTTCTTTACACAAGTTGCACCAAAATTGTGATTTTCACAGGAAATGCGACTGGCTGATTCGAAATGCATGGTTACAATGCGCTGCTTCAGTTTGTTTACACTTTGCGACTGAGAAAATTGCACATATTTAACGGCACAGGAAACTTCCAGTAAATGCAGCAAAACAAAACTTCAGAGAAGACAAGTTGGGTGGCCTGATTGTAGAAGTGCAGCACCATGAGGAGGAGCTTTACAGGAAGGAGAAAACCAAATACTATCCCCTAGGTGGCAAATATCAAAATTATGGTGGTCAATTTTTGGAGAAAATCAATGCACTCTTCTCTTTACCCAAGATATATCTGAGAGGAAATAACGGTGGCTCAACCTGCATTCAATCTGTTGTTCTACAAGCATGTAGTTGGAGAAGGGATATGGAGGAAGCAGGGTTCATTCTTGAGATCCTGATTCTCCTAAAGCTTTTAGCAGGAAGTACCGCTGATGTGTCTGCACATCATACCTGTGTCAGTCGTCCCATTCAGATTGATTTAGCTTTTAAATCCATGAAAATCACTGTCTCTTTTGTTATTGGTGCAAATTCCACCTTCCTTTAAACTTTACAAATCAGGAATTGGGTCCATTTTCTTTAAGTATACTTCAAGTTAATCAATATGTACTGGCAGACTGCAATCAGCTCTCACTATGAAAAGTCTCAGCTTTAAGGCACATTTAGCTTGTGGTTACTTTAGCTTGCAGCAACACCTGATTTTCTTCTACCAATTCTCTCAAAGCATTTCACCCAAAGCTCCATGATTTTAACATGATACCTCATTTCTTCCCATCCCCATCCCATCACATCTCACCCAGAACAGGTTTTGCCCCAGTATTAACAGGATGAGTTTCCTTTGCCTCTTCCATTTGGCCTGGAACCATCCTTGTTACCCTTCTTTCAATCCTTCAATGTGAATGTACTTGTCCTCCTGGATAATCAATATATGCTGAGATTCCCCCTTCACCTGTTTTTCTCATAGATACCATGGCGGAGTCGAACCTTGTGACCATTGAAGATGATGATGAGGATGATGATTATGGGGAACCCCAGGAAATTATTCATCCAGGTTTTCCAGGGGATGATCCAGATAACGGGCCAAATAGATGGAGATCTTCAACTTGGGTCCCTGAAGAAACCTTGTTTAAAATCGAGGAATGTCACAATGCCATGTTGATCGATGGTTTCCAAAGGATTGAAGAGGGAATTCACGGACTTCGCCAAGACATGAACGAGCACATGGAGAACTTGTGTGGCTCCATTGACTCTCTCCGTACTCCCCTGCAACTGATAGGACAAACCCTTCAGGGCCTTCTCTTACATTTACGGGCTAACCAGATGGAGTCAGGAACTTCACAGATTGAAGAGACTGTGGAGCCTGGTCCCTCCAACATCTCTTCAGAAACAGAACTTGACCACAGTGAGACAAAATCCTTCAAAAAACAAAAAATTAATTGAACAAAATGAAATGGTATGAGTCACCTAGAGACAATTTTTATCTTCCATCTGTAATAATTTTTTGTTGGAAGAAGGGTTCTTACCTTACACACAGAATGTGACATCACATCTGCAGGGTGAGCTTACAGAAAAAAGGACAAAATGGTTTCCTTTCTTGATTTTAACAAAAAGTTGTCTTTGTCTTTCTGTATGTTGCTGCACTTGCAAATCCCCTAATACATCCAAAAATTGTTAGTTAATTAAAATGTCTGATTGCATTCTGTCATTGTTGCACTGCATAAGCATCTATCCCACTTTAACTTGCCACAACTTGAAAGTTTGGCTCTGTTGTCTTGACAACAGGAAAATATTTTAAAAGACTCTTAAGTTCTGAAAATGTATTAACAAGTGTCTATGCAAATAAAATTCATTATTGCAGGACACCAGATATACGAATGAGTAACTCATCTTATGTAGAGTAATTGGTTATGCTTGAATGTCTCTGCAAAATTGAAGAACCTTGCACTGCTGATTCAAGACCATGCATCTGGGGTGGGGGGGGAAAGCAAAGGCAAAGAAAAGGTGGAGTTCATGATGTGCTTGGATTGCCTATGTTAAGGATTCCTGACTTCTACATATCAAAACTTTTATGAGCCAGCAATTTATAATCTCGGATTAAACTAGCCTCATTGGAGGCAGAAGAACTGCTAGAGCTGTAATTTGTACAGATCTTGGAAATATCTCCAGAGTATTCAACAAAGAAATTGCTAATTTTGCGCTTATTGTGTTAAAACTTGCATGGCTAATGAGCTGAGAGTATGTTTAGTTTCTGCAGATTTGTTAGGGGTAATACACAGTTGCCATGCTCTCGGTAGTCTTTTGCTCCTGGAGCTTTGGATTGACGAGAGCACAGAACTACTTTACATTGCTGTGTTGTGCCTGATCTGAGAGAATGCTAATTGATTGACTGGCATCTTTGTTTAAGTGCTGTAATCTGGTTGCTAAATATTGACATGGATGATTGATGTTGAGATTATTTATTTGGAAGGTGCTAATGCCAAATCTGGGACATTGTTGCTGTGGTCACTTTGACTGCACAGCTAATGTGACTTGGCTATAGGAATCTCCAGATCTTTACCACCCACACGTTCTCCACACCCATTAGTTGGAAAACATCCATCTGGGAAGGAAGAAGCACAAGCCAGTCTGTCATAGTTTTATCCACAGTACCCACAGCACCATAATTGCAGGGCACTTTTCCTACCCCCAGGTCATCCCCTTCTGTGCGGAAAGGGGTTCTTAAATATGTCCTAACCTTTCTCCAGTTAGTTTCAACTGCTTTTAATCATAAGTAGAGCATGCACATATACCTATTCAGTTGATATGAGGGCTGTTATGGCACAGTGATTGCATCCCCAGCTTTGAGCCAGGAGGCCTGGTTTCAAGCCCCAACTGCCACAGGAGTGGACAGGTTAATTTAAAAGAATCTCAGTTGACATGGCATTTGCAATAATAGCAACACAGACTTGTATTTTACTAATTTGGATATTCACCCATTCTCTCCATCTCTTGCCTGATAGAAATTGCATGAAAAATTTCCTAACAGTTACTTACGCTCGTACATTTTGCAACCTGATCGGAGTGTTTTAAAGCAAAATGAGAAGCAAGATTTGAGTGACACGGTGGCTCAGTGGTTAACACTGCTGCCTCATAGCTCCAGGGGCCTGGGCTTGATTCCCCCTCTGACAAATGTCTGTGTGGAGTTTGCACATTCTCCCCGTGTCTGTGTGGGTTTCCTCCGGGTGCTGCAGTTTCCTCCCATAGTCCAAAGATGTGCAGGCTAGGTGGATTGGCCATGCTAAATTGTCCATAGTGCCCAGGGATGTGTAGGTTAAGTGGGTTTGGGTAACGGGTCCAGATGGGATGCTCTGAGGGTCAGTGTGAACTTGTTGGGCTGAAGAGCCTGTTTCCACACTCTACGGATTCTATGAAAAGCTTTGCATTGTAAACAGTGTATGCAAGTGAGGGGAGATGTAATTTTCAGTTTAATCATGACACATCTTATGCTACTTATTACCCAAAGCCTTAGCCATATGGGCAGATTCCATACATGGAAATAATTAGTTACTGTTCCTTTGCTTTTGAGATGTTTACCACTAAAATACTCTTATGGATACCTTTTGAAGAGTTGCAATTCCATCTCAAAATTGGGTCCACTAAATAAAACAATCAAAGTAATTCTTCACTTTATACCTCTTAAAATAGACCTTTACGCTTTATAAACATTTTTTAATAAAAAGTTATTGCGCTGCATTCCATTTTATGAAACAGGTTTTACTGCATCTGATGACATGTTATTTTCTTCCTTTTCAATTTACATTTTTTGTTCTACACGTTTTGAATGATACTTATACAAGTATAAAAACAATTTATTAGAAATTTACAGTTTTAAGTGTGCATTTGAAATAGTTGACCTTTAGTCTGATAATTTCTTATACAGTTTATATACTGAGTAAACGCAAAGTGCAGTTACACATCTTTTAGCTCTGGTATTTCTAATATTATTCTGGGTTAAAATTAAAATAATTTTTATTAGTTATATTTGAAAAACAGGTGGCAGTAAAAGTTTCTGTTTTGATGGTTTGACATTTTCTGACCACTTATTGTACTGTTGCATTGATTTCAGTCTCCAATAAATTTAGCTAATAACAATCACCTTTTGGTATTGGAATCTTACTGCATGATAAACATTTGGTGTAACAGTGTGAAACTGAGACGTCTTAAATAGACAGTTAAACAAGGTTGAGAGACTTGAATAGTGAGTTATTTCAGTAAATGTTAAAATTGGCCCCTGATAAGCTTTGTTTTAAATTGACTAACTGTATCTGGTGACTTTTAAAACAAAGTTCTCCTCTGACATCTTGTGCATCTGTGGATTCCACGGAGGAAGCTCTTTGAACTGTTGATATTTTGGTCCTTAGGAATTTTGCTGAATGATAACTAGTTTGAACCATTTGGACTAAATGGCCTGATCCTATGAAATGCTATAATAGTAAAAATAATGTCAGTTTGTGACCAGCTTCTGGTTGTCACTTCTGTGTTCTGTTGAAAATGTGCAAAAAGGTTTTTTTCGAGTTATTGAGATAGGCTTATTGTGATGTGAGAGGAGGGGTTGGCAACTTTACATTTGAAAATACCTATGTTTGTATTTGCTAAGAACAGGTAAAGCTGTAATTCAGCTTTTTAGGTCTGTGTTTAAGATTCTTGGTGTGTGATTTCAAAAATTGCAAGACATTGATAATTTAAAGTTAAGCTTCTTCAAGCATTTAACTGCTTAGGCATTGTGATATTACGTTGCTTTTTTTCATTATTTGCAGTTTTGGAGATGAGATTAATTATTTTTATTTGTTAAAGATATCTGATTTACTTGTTATAAAAATTGATATATACAACCATATATTCCCAATTTGTAACCTAACAGATAGCACTACAACTTGGACTGGAAGCAGAACAGCAGCATTTACCCCTAACATGCCTCACCACCAGAATGGACATCTTCAGCACCACACCCCTATACATCATGCTGGCCATTACTGTAAGTCTTGATGCAGGACTTGTATCACCCAAGCAATTGTGCTTAGTTTTGCATCTCCCTGTAGATGTTACTTGATTGAGAGTTTTAAAAAATAATTACATTGTAATCTATCCAGAATAACATGTAATATCTGTCCCCACAGTTTTGAATTTGAGCTCAATTTTATGAACAATGGCTATAAGGAATGGTCTATACATAATGTTGGCTTTAATAATGAGCTGAATGCATCTCAATTCTTCTTTTCAACTTCTCATAAAAACTGTCTTGATCAAATATTTTGGGCTTTTGTATCCATTTGCGTTAGTTGTAACATTTCTACTATTAACAAATTCAAATGTTACATTTTCTTTTTTCTAAATTTTCAATTTTGCCTTAAACCACTTCATTGCAGTAAGTGTAAATTTGTGAAAATAATTTAACAACTTCAGAAAGACAATCTATGGGCATAGAGTTGCTTTTGAAATGCCTTCACAGAAGACGATTACTTACAGATGTGATCCAATGAGCACTCCAGATGCTGAAAAATTTCGTTTACAAAGGGTGACAAAGTTTACCATTGTGATGGATGGTTATTTCTTTGAATCTTTAAAGGGGACTAGTAACGTGCACTGCACGAGGTGTAGGAGTGAGCAATATATATATAGCCTGTGCTAACATTAAATAAGCTTGGCTGATCATAACCTGGTTAGATGCAATTTAAAGCTCTTGCTTTATCCCATAGCCACAATTAGAATGAGTGTCTTGTGTCAAAACAAGTTGCAGTTTTTTTTTGAGAATTTCCAAGTTTGTATTGTGCGTAACAAACTGACAGAAGGCTGCACAAACAAATTCCACTTACGACCAGATTCACCCCAGATTTTGGAAAAAAAGATCATTCATAGGCTGTGACCATCACTGGATAGGCCAATCATATATTACGTCAAGGGTAGTTAAGAATCTTTAAGAGTCAAGCAGATTCTTAAGAGTCAAATACATATAGGAGGAATTGTGAGTGGTGAGGAGGAAGTAAAGAGGCTTCAAGATGATTTAATCAGGTTGAATCAGTGATTAAATAAATGGCAGGTGCAGTATAGTGTAGATAAGAACGAAGCTGTCCACTTCAGGTGAAATAGAGTGGCAGAGTGTTACTTAAATTGTGTTAGCTAGGAAATGTTGATATACAAAGCGACCTGAGTGTCCTTGTACAATGGTTGTTGGAAGCAAGCAAGGAAAGGTGCAGCAAGCAGTTAGGAAAGCAAATGGTATGCTGACCTTCATTGCAAAGGGATGAGAATACTGGAGCGAGGATGACTTGTTGCAGATATACAGAGCCTAGGTAAAACCACACCTGAAGGAGCATGCAGCACGCAATCTAAGAAAAGATACACTTCCCATAGAAGAGGTCCAGCTTTGGTTCACTGAGCTGATGTCTGGGCTGGTAGGTTTGTCGCATGAAGAGTGTCAACACTACCCATATTCACTGGACTTCAGAAGATTAGAGGAGAGCATATTGACACCTGTATTATTATGATAGATCTAGACCGATTTGATGTAAGAATGACATTCCTTCTGGTTTGGAAGGTGGGGCTTCGAGAACAAAGGCTCATAGACACATGATACAAGATAGACTTGTTGACCAGGTAGACAGGCTGAGATGAGAAGTCCACCACATATGGTGGGAACCAAATTCCTGAATTTATTTAAAAAATAAATAGATTTCTAGAGGGCAAAGCTGTCAAGGGATATGGAGAGAGCGAGCAATATGGTGTTTAGATGGAGATTCGGCCATAACCATCTTCAGTGGTGCAGCAGGCTCTGTGGCCTTCTGTTTTCAATAGCTTCTATTTTCTGTGTTTGTGTTTTACCCAAATGTGAAAAGTACAGTGTGCCACCCAATCTGCTAGGAATATCTATTTTGTTTAACTGATGGGTGAAGTTACACACCCATAATCACTCAAGTATAGACAAAAGCAAATCGGGAGAACAGTTAACAGTTCCTTTTGCACGTTGTTAAAATTATGTGGCAGGATAGATGGCTGTGCATTCTTCTTTTGTAAGTGCTGCAATTTCAATTATTGAAAAATAGTAGTTCGGATTAGATTCACCACAAAATGTTGTACAAGAAATATAGACTAGAACCACTTCAGGTCCACTCTCTTCACTGCTAGCTCAAATGTTTTCCAAATATGCCAGTAGAAAGAGGGATAACAATTGATTTTGTCGAGGCAGACGGGGGAATATCCTACTGATTCCAGCTGGTAATTGGCACGAGGCCAGTTTCGAATATAGATTGTGATTGCTTCTGATTCTGTCTGTTGTAGAATGATCAGTTAATGGTAACCCTTAATTGGGATTTGGAGGTGTACATTTGAGTGTCAGTACTGTCCCTTGCAATTTACTTATTTTGTTATGAATGATCACCCATAATGGTGTAAGAAATGGGAGAGATAGAGGCAATAATGTTGTTTGTCAAATATTTGAGAATGCTCGGCGGGAAGAAAAATTGCATGAAAGATGATGACACTTGTATCGCATGCTCTATTCCTGCATTTGCTTATTGTCCTTTTTTGTTAAATTTCATGCATGTAATATGTTCATAGTATATGCTGGAAAGCTAAGTAAACGATCAATCAATTACAGCATATAAGAATTTTATGTGTGATGGCAAGATACTATGTTTCACTTGCCTACCACTCTACTTTCTGGAATGGCAAATAGAGTGTTTATTTCAAAGGGAATGGAGTATAAAAGTAGGGAGGTTTTGCTGAAACTTTACAAGGTACTAGTGAGGCCACAGCTGGAATATTGTAAACACTTTTAAGCCCCTTGTACGAGGAACGATATACAGGCATTGGGCTGAGACCAGGTATGGAGGGACTGTTTGTGAGGAGAGATTGAGTGAGTAGGTTAGGCCTGTAGCCACTGGAATTTAGAAGAGTGAGAAATGATCATATTGAAACACACGAGATGCTTAGAAAACTTGACAGGATTGATGTGGAAGGATTGTTTCACCTTGTGGGGCAGTCTGGACCAGAGTGCATATCTCAGAATTAAGAGATTGCTCACCTAAAACAGAGATTAGGAGAAATTTCATCTTAAGGTTGTGAGTCTGTGGTATTCTTTACTGTAGAGAGCTATTGAGGCTGTGTCGCTAAGTATATTCAAAGCTAAAGTAAACATTTTTTAATCAGTAAGGGAAGCGAGAGTTATAGGGAAAAGGCAGGAAAGTGGAGATGAGGGTTAACAGATTAGCATGGTTTCA